GAGAAAGCTTAGAGAAGAAGCGTCAAGGAGAGGCAGAAACGACAATGGTTAAAAAGATTCAAAATTTGGGTCCAGACAACGAGTGGAGAGCTGAAAAGATAGCTTCGCAAGAAGCAAGTATTTAATTTATTTAAACGTTGTTTAAGCTTTTTAATTAAATTACTTTACATATTTATATGTATTATATTTTTTCTTTCATTTTAGGCTATTTCTGAAAACCAATATGAGGTCTTCAGATCTTACGAAAGCCCATTAATTGGCTTCCGCTCATTCAGGTTCCACCCTGAATATGTCGAAGTTGTGAGTGACGTTAAGTCATTCACATACAATAATAATATTGTTCCGAACAAGAAGATGTGCGCTTTTGAACTACAACCGCGGGGTATATGCAATGACAACGACTGCAGGTCGCAGCATTTCCGTGAGCTTCCAAAGACCGGTATGTACTTCTGTATTTTTCTTTGTTATTATACACATATATATTATTATTCAATTTGCTATTATATAACTTTGGTTTTTTTATTTATAGAAAAAGTGATCATTGATGATCTTACCGGATATTACGAAGGTGAGAATATCTCGCAACAGAGGCATTACCGTGAAGGCCTTCATAGGTTACTCGGCGATCTTGAAATGAACGGGAGGGACTCGTTTCTCGAGAAATTCGAGGATATAAAAAAATATCGCGACACTTTTGTTGCAAGAAGCCAAAACGACGGCACTGGGGCTCCACGGGTTGTGTTCACAAATGAGCACCGGCCATTGACAGATGACTGGTACACTTCGCCTCCGGCTCGCGAAAGTGAATCGGATTATGTTTCCGAAAGCTTGCCCACACCAAGAATGCCAACATCATCATCGTCCGGACCAGATGACGACCAACAACAAATATATCCAACTTCACCCGAGTTGGAAGATGAAGATGAAGACAGTGATTACTTCTCACCATCGTTCGCTTCTCATCACGAGAAAGATGAGAATGAAAAATATGAAAATTATGACGAAAGAATGAAGTCATGTCACGAATCCGACGATCAATACGCCGAATTAAGCGAATCTGAGTCTGAATCCACCACATCCGAAAACGGAGACGAACAAAAAAATATCGCGACCATTAGATCATCGACCGAATTTGCATCCATTAATCATGAAGAACGGCAAGAAATCGTCCAAGAGCAACAAGAAGAGGAACAAGATGTTTATGCACCATTTGGTTATGTAGGCCGAATTCTCAATTGGTTCCTCTGATTTGATAATTTATGAAAGTATGTTTGTGGAATATGGGAAACGTTGGCAGTATGAGACAATATGATCCGTAATGTGATTTTACTGGTAACGCTTTCATATCACAATATATATATATAACACATTTACAAAAAGAAATGATTGAACCTATTGGGCTAATTTTTGTATATATTATATTATAATAAGTTATAGGATATGCATGTATATATAATAATTATTGCAAAAGAAGAAATTTAATATTTATTTGTTATTGTTATTTTTCCATATACTAAAATGTAAAATACTAAAGTCGTTACAATATTGATTATTTGTAACAGATTTTATATATTAAAGCTTATTTAAATACTAGTTTTTTAAAAAAGCTTTTTTTACTTCTAAAAAAATAGATAAGAGATAGTATTATTATTTAAAAAGTATATATTAATAAATAATTAGAATTAGAATATTTAAAAATTATTAGATAAAATAAGTTTAAAATTGAAGTTTATTTAGATTAATATTAATACTACTAATATAGCAGATTTAATAGTTTATTTATACTCATAATTTTGATAATAATATGGGTTAATTTTGATAACACAGATCAATTGATGAAGAATCAGATTAATATCTATCAATTAAGAATCAGGATCAAATCAGATTTGATTCTTAACTAACAGGTATTTTTTTGTTAGTTAATAATTAGAATTCTGATAGTTTTATAACTTTTATTATATAAGATTCTAGCAAATTATAAGATAGTTGATAAATAATAAGTATCCAAACAAATAATTTTCAGTTTTTAAATAATTAATAATTTGTTATTAAAGTATCAATAAAAATTTTACAAAATCAAAAGATCACAAAATATTAATATTTCAATTAATAATATTTAATAGATCATTAAAAAACTGATAAATATATCAAGTAATATATATAAAATATTGTTAATACTGTATGCCACTACATACAATATCTAGGATCTTAATTAAAAATGTGATTTTTCAAATTGAATAATACTCACAGATACTAAATGAGAAATTAGATACTATTTTAAGGAGGATATAATATATAGAAGATACTGTATATGGAGTTACAATTACATAACTTTAATAAATAAATATCAAAAAAAATAATTAAATTTACTTTTCTTTTTTAATTCAGTTTCGCAAATATTGAAGAAAACTTAATACTTTTTCTTACTTTATATAAAAATTATGAAAAACGTCAAGTAATAGGAAAAGTTAATATTAAAGACATAATACTATGCCCAAGTATTAATTAATTTTCACAAAGTTTAGCTTTGAAAGTATTCAGATACTATTTGTAACTAGGTCAACATAAATATTGAATAATATAAATTTTAATTAAGTATGAATTTTTCTAATAATTAGTATTATTGTTATATAATTATATATATTTTTATTGATTAAAAAAGAACCCTTAACAAACTGATTTAATATACTATATATAAAAATAATACAATTTTTATTCATATCATAAAACTCCTTTTTCCATAATTCAATATTACAAAAACTAATCATTTATTTGACATTAAAATCCAATTTTATGATTTTCTGTTGATAAATACTATCTTATAAATGCTAATAAATATTTTTAGATCTTTTTAAATTTAGAAAATACACAGTACATTTAAAATAATATTAAATAATATCAGGATAGGTTTCTTTAAAACTATCATTAATTAATTAAAATAATATTTTAGTTAATTTGATATATCTTTTTGAATAAGTTAATCTAAAAATTTAGCGTCAAATTATAATTTTCATAAATATTTACTTTTAGAAATATTGAAATTGCATTAAATTAAATAATATGAATATCAGATAAAGTCATAAAGTTTTTATTATAAGTATTACAATATTATTTAATTAATAAATCTAATATTTCTTCTAAAACTTTTGTATTTTTCTTTTTTGAATTAAGAAAAAAGATTTTAAACTATAGATGCCTGCCGAAACCTCCTCAAAATAATTTTGTCATACCCTTTTCTATGTTTTTAATATAGTTTCAACAGTTTTGGCTTTCGTCGTATCAAATGGGTTTCGTCGTATCCCTTATTATGATTTTAATATAGTTTCGTCTAAGTTTAGACTGTTATTAAGGGGTTTCATCCCTCATCTATATTTTAAACCTATTTCTGTATCTTTTAATTTTTTAGATATTAATAAAAATTCACAATAATCTATAGTCAACTCTTGTTATAATAAATTCTATATCCTAAATCTCAATTTTACCATAAGATTATAGTGAAGATTTTAAAAGATTTGATTGGTCAATTCACTATAATAAAAGTATTTTTATTATATTTGTTTAAAAAATTTGTTATATCAAGAATTTGCTATATGGGGTATGCTGCAACAAAACCAGACAAAGTGAACATTGGGATTTCAGGGATCAAAATTTAGTAATGTGGTTATTAAAATCTTCCATTTGTTATCCTCTTAATATATAGAATTACCTCTATATAAAAATAGTTAATATGAAACTTATTTATATCAGATCTACTATGGAACCCAAGAATTATAGTATCATTAAAAGTATTCTAAAAAAGGAACAAGGTGAAAAAATTGCACCTTACATTTTCAAAATAAATGATACTCAGATGTTGGAAACTTATTTAAGAAAAGAAAAGATTACTTATGAAATTTACCATGAAGAAAGAAAAATAATAAATGTTGGAAAAAAAAAGCATCATGATGATGTATTATTACCAAATAAAAAGCAAAAATCTTTAAAAGGAAAATAACTATCATTTTCTTTGATAGTTGGAATTATACAGAGGGAAATAACCAAAAATTACTTTCTTATTTTCAATCAAGGTCATTTCTTAGTTTCTTTAATTTTAACTTGTGCAGTTAATTGACCATTCTGTTGTAATTGTTCTAACTGGTTCTTTAATTTCTCATTCTCTGCCTCACAAGCATTTAACTTATTGACTAACTCTTGAGGGTTAAAGTTTTCAATTGTTCAATTTTCTGAGTCAATTTAATAATTTCTGTTTCTTGTTGTTTAATCTTATCTAATAATTCTTGTTTCTGTTTTTTGTTTTATTCCTCAGACTTTTCTTGAAACTTGGCTATTTCCTCTCTTTTAATTTCTAACGTTTCTTCAGCAGTGGCTAATTTTTCTTGTAATCCATTTATTTGTCTTTCATAAAAAGCAGACTGACTTATTTCCTCACTAGGCAAAAGAGGGAGTTTCTCTTCTTCCATGTCTTCTTCATATCTAATACAAAAACAAACATACTTATCACCATAAACATCAATATAATGTTTAGTTTGTAATCTACTACATCTCTCACACTTTTCCAATTCATCATTCTCAAATTTCTCTTTACAATTTTCACACACTACATCATCTGCAACATATTTACCATTTACCTTAACACGAGCTACTATTTGGTTAACAGATTTATTATTCTCTCCATAACAATTAGAACAAAAATCACATGTTTTCCGACTTGATCTTTCTAAATCTAAAAATGTGTAAATTAGTTCTCTCATTAATTATCTACTTACCTCTATTCTAGCAACTAACTCTTGGATTTAGCATTTTTTGTTTTTCACCAATTGATGGAATTCAGTTTTTAATTTTGTCCTTAATTGTCTAAATTTGCTTTGCTTTTTAGGTAAAGCAGGTAAATCCTTTTCAGCTAAATGCAGTTAATTTTGCAATCCTTTGTTTTTTTCTGTGAGATTTTTGTTTCGTGATTCTTTTTCTGAAATTATCTTATTAGATACCTCTACTTTTTCCCTTTCTTGTTTTAGTTCTCATTCTAA